GTGCATCGTGGGGCCATCTTGGGCCGTCTTTGAGGCCATCTTGGCTGCCTTGGAAGTATCTTGGACGCCATCCTGGGCCATCTTGGCCGTCTTGGAGGGCATCTTGGGCCAACTTGGGGCAACAAAGGCGTTGACAGGCGGATTTTCGGGAATCTCCCAGGACCCCAGCGGGACGGGCCGAAGCCCTTGGGGGAGTTTTTTTTGGAACAAGAACCAAAACCATATCGTTCGGCACGCCAGGCACCCCTGCGATGAATCGACAGGGGGCGGTGGATCGAAGACGCATACGGCGAATCACCGCCGCCCCCTGCCTTCGTGGAAGCGCCTATGTGTCCGACAGCTGGGCTAGAGCTTGGCCAAGCTATCGGACCATGTGTTCCCCGAGTCGGTTAGGAAAGGTTTCGGGGAACGTGGGGGGGATGAAAGGGAGGAGGAGGAGAAGGATGACAAATGAGAAGGGGGTTGCCTCTTCGGAGCCTCTTGAGGCACTCTTGGGCTCGATTGGACCATCTTGGGACCGTCTTGGAGACCATGTTGGGGCTATCTTCGGCTCTCTTGGGGCCTCTTGAGGGCCTCTTGAGACCCTTTTGGGGCTTCTCGGGGGCTTCGTTGGCCGTCTTATGGCGTTCCTGGCCCGTCTGACGCCGTCGGGGGCCGTCTTGGGGGCCTCTCTGAAACGACTTGGGGCCCTCTTGGGGCGCTTCGGGGCCGTCTTGGAGGCCATCTTGGGCGTCTTGGAGGTCTCGTGGGCCGTCTTGGGGCCATCTAAGGCCGTCTTGGGTGCATATTGGGCGGTCTTGGAGGCATCTTGGGGCCATCTTAGCCGTCTTGGAGGCCATCTTGGCCGTGTTCGAGACATCTTGGAGGCCATCTTGGGCCATCTTGGCCGTCTTCGAGGCCATCGAAGGCGTCTTGGAGGCCCCTTGGGCCGTCTTAGGGCCCTCTTGAGGCCGTCTTGGAGGCCCTTTGGGCCGTCCCAGGGCCCTCTTGGAGGCCTCTTAGGCGATCTTGGGGCGATCTTGGGGGTCTCTTGGGCCGTCTTGGGCCGTCCGAAAGCCGACACGGCGCAAATGCCAAACTCATTCAAAATCCAAAGAAAATTAATGATTTTGACCTCTGTGGGCCTTCCTGGGGGGACCTATTGGAGGCCTCGTGGGCCATCTTGGAGGCTTCTTGGGGGCCTTTTGGGCCCATCTAAGTCCGTATTGGGTGCATCTTGGGCCGTCTTGGAGGCATCTTGGGGCCATCTTAGCCGTCTTGGAGGCCATCTTGGCCGTGTTCGAGACATCTTGGAGGCCATCTTGGGCCATCTTGGCCGTCTTCGAGGCCATCGAGGGCGTCTTGGAGGCCCCTTGGGCCGTCTTGGGGTCCTCTTTGGGCCGTCTTGGAGGCCCCTTGGGCCGTCACGGGGCCATCTTGGAGGCCTCTTAGGCGATCTTGGGGCGATCTTGGGGGTCTCTTGGGCCGTCTTGGGCCGTCCGAAAGCCGACAAGGCGCAAATGCCAAACTCATTCAAAATCCAAAGAAAATTAATGATTTTGACTTCTGTGGGCCTTCCTGGAGGACCTCTTGGAGGCCTCGTGGGTCATCTTGGAGGCTTCTTGGGGGCCTTTTGGGCCCATCTAAGTCCGTATTGGGTGCATCTTGGGCCGTCTTGGAGGCGTCTTGGGACCATCTTAGCCGTCTTGGAGGCCATCTTGGCCGTCTTGGAGGCCATCTTGGCCGTCTTGGAGGCATCTTTGAGGCCATCTTGGCCGTCTTGGAGGCCATCTTGGGCGTCATGGAGGCCTCTTGGGGCATTCTTGGAGCCGTCTTGGGGCCATCTTGGAGGCCTCTTAGGCGATCTTGGGGCGATCTTGGGGGTCTCTTGGGCCGTCTGGGGCCGTCGGAAAGCCGAAAAGGCGCAAATGCCAAAATCCTTCAAACACCTAAGGAAACTCAATGATTTTGCCGCTTCGGGCCTTCCTGGGGGACCTCTTGAATGCCTCTTGGGCCGTCTTGGAGGCCTCTTGGGGGCCTCTTGGGCCGTCTTGTGCCATCTTCAGGCTATCTTAGGCCGTCTAGGGTGCATCTTGGGCCGTCTTGGAGGCATATTGGGGCCATCTGAGCCGTCTTGGAGGCCATCTTGGTTGTTTTGGAGGCATCTTGGCCGCCTTGGAGGCCATCTTGGGGCCGTCTGGCGCAGGAAAAAACCGTTGGCAACCACCTCTTCCGGGTGGCCGGCCGGACGAGCCGAAGCCCCAGGGGGAGTTTTTTTAGAAAAAGAACCCAAAGCAAAAGCCATATAGTTTGGCACGCCAGGTACCCCTTTGATAACTCAAAAGGGTGCGGCGGATCGAAGACGCCTACGGCGAATCACCGCCGCCCCCTGCATTTTTGGAAGCGCCTATGTGGCCGAACGTTGAGGCCAGACCTGCCAAGCTATCGGACCATGTGTTCCCCGAATCGGTTTGGAAAGCCTTCGGGGAACACGTGGGCATCTTGAAGGTCATCTTGGCCGTCTGGAGGCCATTTTGACCCTTTCGGGCCTTCTTGGAGGACGTCTTGAAGGGCTCTTGGGCCGTCTTGGAGGCCATCTTGAGCGTCTTGGAGGCCTCTTGGGCCGTCTTGGGGGCCTCTTGGGGCCGTGTCTTGGGCCTCTTGGGCGATCTTTGGGGGCACTTGGGCCGCCTCGGGCCGTCGGAAGGCAGAAAAAGACAATGCCACAATCCTTCAAAAACTCATTGGAAATCAATGATTTGGGCCTTTTCGGGCCTTCCTGGAAGCCCTCTTGGAGGCCTCTTGGGCCGTCTTGGGCCATCTTAGGGCCATGTTCGGCCGTCTTGGTGGGCTCCTGGTCCGTCTGACGCCGTCGGAAGCGGTTGGGGGGGCCTCTATGGGCCGACTTGGGGCCCTCTTGGAATGCTCCAGGGCCGTCTTGGAGGCCATCTGGGGCGTCTGAAAGGCCTCCTGTGCCGTCTAGTGGGCCTCTTGGGGCCGTCTTGGGGCCCTCTTGGGCCGTTCTGGGGCCATGTTGGAGGCCTCTTGGGCGATCTTTCGGCGATCTTTGGGGACTCTTGGGCCGTCTCGGGCCGTCGGAAGGCCGAAAAGAAGCAAATATCAAAATCCGTCAAAAACATTGGAAATCAATGTTTTTGGCCTCTTCTGGCCTTCCTGGAGGCCCTCTTGGGGGCCTCTTGGGCCGTCTTGGGACAGCTTCGAGCCAACTTCGGCCATCTTGGTGGGTTCCTGGCACGTCTGACGCCGTCGGGGGCCGTCTTGGGGGCCTTTCTGGGCCGACTTGGGGCCCTCTTGGGGCGCTTCGGGGCCGTCTTGGAGGCCATCTTGGGCGTCTTGGAGGCCATCTTGGGCGTGTTGGAGGCCTCTTGGGCCGTCTTGGGGCCCTCTTGGGGCCGTCTTGGAGGCCACTTGGGCCGTCATGGGGCCCTCTTGGGGGCCTCTTGGGCGATCTTGGGGGCCTCTTGGTCCGTCTTGGGCCGTCGGAAAGCCGAAGAGGCGCAAATGTCAGAATCCTTCAAAAACCTAAGGACAATCAATGATTTTGGCCTCGTCGGGCCTTCCTGGAGGACCTCTTGGAGACCTCTTGGGCCGTCTTGGAGGCCTCTTGCGGGCCTTTTGGACCGTCTTAGACCATCTTGAGGCCATCTTGGGCCGTTTTGGGTGCATCTTGGAGCCATCTTAGCCGTCTTTGAGGCCATCTTGGCGGTCTTGGAGCAACTTGGAGGCCATCCTAGGACATCTTGGCCGTCTTGGAGGCCATCTTGGGGCAAGAAAGGCGACGCCAGGCGGGTTTTCCGGGTGGCCGGCGGGACGGGCCGAAGCCCCAGGGGGAGTTCTTTTGGAAAAAGAACCAAAACCCAGGCACCCCTGTTGCAAGCAACAGGGGGCGGCGGATCTAGTGGCCTTCGGCCCCCCATCCCACCACCGTGCCTGGGTTGTTGATCACAGGCCTCTTGGATGAATGTTGGGGTCTCTTCGGAAGCCTCTGGGGAGCCTCTTGGAGGCAGTTTTGAAGCCTCTTGGGGCCTCATGGGGGCCGTTTGGGGGCCTCTTGGGGCTTCTTCTGGGCATCTTCGGGCCTATTGGGGACTTCTTGGGGGCTTACTGGTGATCTCGGGGGCCCCCTTGGAGCGGAGGGCTCGGAATCTCAGCTCGAGTTCCCCATTGGGCCGTCTTCGGCGTCTTGGAGACCATCTGGGACCAAGTTGGCCCCCTTTGGGCCGTCTTGAGGGCATCTTGGGCCGTCCTGGGGCCATCTCAGAGGCTGTTAGAGGCGAATTGTACCACATACGTTGCACCACACACACACACACACACACACACACACACACACTGCACCGCCTATATTGCACCCCGTAAATTGCACAACCTGGACTGCACAGCATACATGGCACCACATAGGTAGCACCACACGTATCGTTCCACATAGATTGTGCCACATAGATGGCACCACGCAGATTGATAGAACCACACGGTGCGGTGTCCACGCTGGCGAACATACGTTTTCCTGAAGGAATGGGTCGATGTTTGCCTCCTGGGGTGCTCTCGAGGCGCTCTCGAGAAGTCTTGTGGGCCTCTAGCTTGAAGCTGTCTTGGACCGCTCTGGAGCCCTCTTGGGCCATGTGAGGCGGTACTAGAGACGCTCTCGAAGGTTCGTGAGGTTGCTTCAGGCCTGCCGAGGAGCTCCCATGAGCCTCCAGGAGCTCTCAGGAGCTTGCAAGATCTTCCAGGGAATTCCAGGAGCGGCTGAGAAGCCAGGAGCCGCAAGAGCCTTACTGTCCGTTTATTTTTCAGGGCTGCAGGGCTGCGTGGGCCTTGGGGCATTCCACTGCGTGCTGAAGGCACGGTGGCAGAGTTGTTCTGCATCCGTCGCTGCCCTCCCAGTCATCCACGCTGTCGTCCTCGTCATCCGCCGCCTTGTCGTCGCCGTCATCCTTCTCTTCTGTTCCCCCTACGAGCCCAATGGACAAAGTCGGCGCTGCCGCCTCTTGTCCGATCAGGCTGTTCCTCGTCTCATTGCATTCCTTCCCTCCCTCCCTTCCTGTCCCTCCGCGCGGGGGCCGCTGCATGTCTCTGTGGCGGTCTGGGTGCAGCAACGCCTGTGGCTCTGGCCACTCCGGCTCGCGCGAGTCGCACAGCTGTGCCGGCGAGCCGCCTCCGCAGGAGGAGGTCGACCTGCTCCGCAAGGGCGGGCACGAGGCGCTGTTGAGGGCGTGCACCGTGCCGCCAGTGGCCGAGGAGGGCGACCGGCAGGCTGTTCAGGTGGTCGTGGATGCCTCCAGGGAGGTGCTCGAGGAGTCGGGGAGGAAAAGGTACAGAACCACCCTTGCCTCTTTCCACCTCTTTGGGCCCCTGTGACGTTCTCGTCGCCACCGCTGGATTCGCTTCGAATGTCTTGTCAGAAAGCAGCCTGGGAGAGGTCCGAGGAGAAGCGGCATGGGTAACCGAGGGAGGTCGTTAGTTTGAAGTCCCCCCCCCCTTTTCCAGTCGGCGGGGAATAAACTCGCCAGTCCTCCTCCTGCTCCTCCTTCTGTTCCTCCTCCTCCTCCTTCTCCTCCTCCTGTGCCCCCTCCTCCTCTTCTTCTTCCTCCGCACCTCCTTCCTGCTCCTCCTCCTCCTGCTCCTCCTCGTCGTTATCATAGTCGTCGTCGTCGTCGTCGTCGTCGTCGTCGTCGTCGTCGTCGTCGCCGTCGTCGTCGTCGTCGTCATCGTCGTCGCGGCGGAGATTTGTTTCCCTATATTGTTGGGTGGCCTGGATAATGTTTGTTTCTCCCAACCATCCTGTGTTGTTGGGTCCTCGTTTTGAAGAGACAGCGCCCCGCGTTCCCGCTTCTCCTCCTCCCCCTCCTCCCCTCCCTGCCTCTGCTCTCTCGCATGCCTATTTCGGCGCACCCCTCACACGCTTCGTGGCCACACCACATACGGTGGTCCGCCGAAGGCCCTAGTGGCAGCGCCCGCGTGCAGTTTCAGTTCAATTTCGGCACACCCCTCACACGCTTCGTGGCCCCATAGGGTGCTCCACCGAAGGCCCCAGTGGCAGGGTCCGCATGCAGTTCCACCCCCATTTCGGCGCACCCCTCACACGTTTCGTGACCCCATAAGGTGCTCCGCCGACGGCCCCAGTGACAGCGCCCGCACGTGGTTCCACCTTGCACTTCGGCGCACCCATCACACGCTTCGTGGCCCAATAGGGAGCGCCACCGAAGGCCCCATGGCAGCGCCCGCATGCAGTTCCACCCCCATTTCGGCGCACCCCTCACATGCTTCGTGGCTCCATATGGAGCTCCACCGAAGACCCCAGTGGCAGCGCCCGCATGCAGTTCCACCCTCCATTTCGGCACACGCCTCACACGTTTCGTGGCCCAATAGGGAGCGCCACCGAAGGCCCCAGTGGTAGCGCCTGCATGCAGTTTCATTTCAGTTTCGGTGCACCCCTCACACGTTTCGTGGCCCCTTAGGGAGCTCCACCGATGGCCACAATGGCAAAGTCCACATGCAGTTCCACCTTTAAATTTGGCGCACTCCTCGCACGTTTCGCACCCCCATTTCGGCGCACCCCTCACACGTTTCGTGGCCCCATAGGGTGCTCCGCCGAAGGCCCCAGTGGCAGGGTCCGCATGCAGTTCCACCCCCATTTCGGCACATGCCTCGCACGTTTCGTGGCCCCATAGGGTGCTCCACCCAGTGCCCCAGTGGCAGGGTCCGCATGCAGTTCCATTTCATTTCGGCACACCCCTCACACGTTTCATCGCCTCATAAGGTGCTCCACCGAAGGCCCCCATGAAAGGGTCCGCATGCAGTTCCACCTCCATTTCGGCGCACACCTCACACGTTTCGTGGCCCCATAGAGTGTTCCACCCAGTGCCCCAGTGGCAGGGTCCGAATGCAGTTCCACCCCCATTTCGGCGCACCCCTCACACGTTTCGTGGCCCCCAAAGGCCCTAGTGGCAGGGCCCGCACGTGGTTCCACCTTGCATTTCGGCGCACCCCTCACACGTTTCGTGGCCTCACATGGGGCTGCACCGACTGCTCCGGTGGCGGCGTCCGCATGGCGTACCAGTGCCAATTTTGACACACCCGTCACAGGTGTCGTGGCCCCAGAGAGAGGTTCACCGAGGACGGTACCCACAACTGCTTTACACACAGCTGCACATGGTTGGGCCCTTTGACAGGATCATTTTCTTTCTCCAGGGAATAATCCAACGCGGGCGAGCGTTAACGCGAGAGGATTTGCAAGCATCTTCTCATGAGGATTGCAATAGGAATCAGTGGTTGCGGCTGTAGTCGTGATTGTTGTCGTGGTTGCAATCGTGATTGCAATCGCGATTGTAGTAGTAATCCTAGTCGTGCTTGTAGCTGTAATCGCAGGCGTAATCGTAGTCGTTGTCGTCGCGGCGGAGATTAGTTTCCCTGTAGTTTGGGTGGGGTAGATAATGTTTGGGGGTCCTTGCCCCAGGGAATAACCCATTGTGGGCTACCTACACGCGAGAGAATGTGTGAGCATGTTCTCATGAGGATTGCACTAGGAATCAGTGGTTGTGGTTGTAGTCGTGATTGCAGTCGTGATTGTAATCATGATCATGATTGTAATCGTGATTCTTTGTCGTAATCGTAGTCGTGGTTGTAGTCGCAATTGTAGTTTGAGTCGTGGTCGTCGTCGCCGCGGCGTAGATTGTGTTCCTTGTTTTGTTGGGCGGGCTGGATCATTTTGACCAACAATACCCAGGCCCGCCCAGTGGGATTGGTGGGTCGAGCCCCTCGCTCGAAGCAGATCTGGGTGAAAGCGGTATCTTCGAGTATCACGTCTACTATGGCGCCTACTGCAACGGCCTCAATACCAGGTATTGCGACCGAATTCATGCCCGTCGTGGGAGATGCGACTGGGCACAACGATCCACTACGGGGAGGTGGCACTTCTTCCAATGGGGACAAGACAGCGGTTGGAGGCCAGTTATCCGACTTCTCGGCGGACGGGGGGTATCGTCAAGACTGTCTTGTATTACCAAGCCCTGCATTTCCGAATGTGGGCGAATGCGATCCAGATCTGTACTACTGGTTCCAAGTTTACCTATCCACGGCATGCGATGTAGTTTGTCCTCACCCTGATGACGACTGGATCCCGCTCGCCGTGCATGCAACCTCCATGCAAGCGGAGCTCTCCCGGCTGATGGCAAAGCTGATGGATGAGCTCGCGCTTTTCGACGGTACGCCTGCGCACCGCCCAACGTGGCTGGAAGATGACGAAGACGTCGAACCAGCCCTGCTGCGCACGATCAGAAGCCTCGTGCGGAAGCTCGACTCTTACAGTTTCACCTTGGAAGGGCAAATCCTCGACTTCGACTACTGGACGGTCGAGTGCGAGAGGGAAGCTGACTGGGTCCTCATCTCGGGCCCCAACACGAAACGATGCCCACAGTACTTTGACTACGGCATCAATCGGCTGTTAGAACTCCTCGGGCCGCTGCAGGCGGAGGCTTTCGAGCCGGACCTCGCGGCCCTCAGGGACTACCTCGAAGCGGAATGCCGTGCATTTCTTGGGATCGACGGCAGATCCGACGACGCCAGCAGTGCCATGCTCGGGTTCGACGACCACGACGACGAGCCTGCAGCTGACAGAGAGTGTGTCACACTCACTGAATGCAGCGAGCGTGCTGACGGGGCAGCCGGCTCCGCGGCACAGAAAAAGCCCAGGAAGCGGCGACGGCGGCGGAGGCCCCTGGCTGGTCCCGCCTCCGCTACTTCCTGACGGTGCGGCCGGGAGAGATCGGAACCGTTCCCTTCCCTCCTGAGGCCCATCATCACAAAGCGGGGCGCCTGGCCCCCCCGTCCTCCGAGGATAAAGGGGTGGCTGGGCATAGTGCTAGTCTTGTCGTCTTCCTGATGACACAACGCTCTTCTCGTTGTCTTCTGATGACGCTCACGTTGGCCATCTTCTGGTAGCCACACAAGTCAATACCGTCCTTCACGGAGCAGGTCCTCGCGATCTACACTTTTCTTGCTGGTCGTTTTCATATAAGTACCCCGGTGGGGCATTTTAGCAACGCTACATCAACAAGATTTGGATCGGCTTCGCGCTGATCGGCTTGATGGTGGTTAAGCAACTCCTCTCAGGTGGAGGCACTCCAGAGTTAGGGTACTCCACAGACACCATAGTCTTCTTTTTCTTCTGCTGGATCATTTTGGGAAGTTCTCTCTCGCAGGGAATAGTCCATTGTGGGCGACCTGCCCTACACGCGAGAGGGTGTGTGAGCATCTTCTCATGCAGATTGCAATAGGAATCAGTCGTTGTGGTTGTAGTCGTGATTGTAGTCGTGGCTGTAATCGTGATTGTGATCATGATTGCAGTCGCGATTGTAGTCGCATGCGCAGTTGCACTTGTAGTCGCGACGGTAGTCGCAATCGTAGTCGTACCGCAGTCATAGTCGTAGTCGTTGTTGTGCGGCGGGTGCCGCGGATAAATAATTCTCACTTGTCTTGTGGTGTTGTGTCATCGGTTTTGAAGAGACAGCGACCCGCGTTCCCGCTCTCTTCCTCCTCCTCCTCCTCCTCCTCCTCCACCTTTCCTTCCTCCCTCCTCCCAGCCCTGCCTTTGCCATCCGCATCTGTCTGCTTCGGCACACCCCGTATGTCCGCTTCGGCACACCTCTCGCGCGAGTCGTGGCCCCATGGGGAGCTCCACCGAAGGCCTGAGTGGCTGCGCCCGCATGCAGTTCCCCCCCCATGTGGGCGCACCCCCCAAACGCTTCATGGCCCCATATGGGGGGCCCCAGTGGCAGCGCTTGCATGCAGTTCCACCTTCCATTTCGGCACACCCCTCACAGGTTTCGTGGCCCCATAGGGAACTCCACCGAAGGCCCCAATGGCAGCGCCCGCATGCAGTTCCGCCCTCCATTTCGGCGCAACCCTTTGCACGTTCCGTGGCCCGATTGGGAGCTCCACCGAGGGCCCCAGTGGCAGCGCCCGCATGCGGTTCCATCTTCCCTTTAGGTCACCTCTCCCACGCTTCGTGGCGCCATAGGGAGCTCCACCGAAGGCCCCAGTGGCAGCGCCCGCATGCAGTTCCACTTCCATTTCGGCGCACCCCTCACACGTTTCGTGGCTTCATAGGGAGCTCCACCGAAGACCCCAGTGGCAGCGCCCGCATGCAGTTCCACCCTCCATTTCGGCACATACCTCACACGTTTCGTGGCCCAATAGGGAGCGCCACCGAAGGCCCCAGTGGCAGCGCCCGCATGCAGTTTCAGTTCAGTTTCGGTGCACCTCTCACACGTTTCGTGGCCCCTTAGGGAGCTCCACCGAAGGCCCCAGTGGCAAAGTCCACATGCAGTTCCACCCTCCATTTCTGCACACTCCTCACACGTTTCGTGGCCCCTTAGCGAGCTCCACCGAAGGCCCCGGTGGCAGCGCCCACATGGCGGCCCCGCCACTTTCCAGCACACCCTCACTCGCTTCGTGGCCCGATAATGAGATCCACCGAAGGCGATCATCAACAACGACGGTACTCGCAACTGCATATGGTTGGGTCCGTCGCCCAGGGCAATGATTTTCCATTATTGGTGGGGCCGCAGTCCGTCAATAAGGTTGCCGAAAAGATAATCAGTTCCCAGTACTGGGCGGGTCTAACAAATCGCGACTACATTTGGCACACCTGCAAACTTTCGACGGTCCGCGCGGATTTCTTGGACCTGCGGAGGGAGGTTCAGCGCAGATCTAGTAAGCTTGCGCGGATCTCCAACCGTTTATGTCAACGCTGATTCTCTTCTTGTCAAGGAGGTCGAGCTCACGCCCAGGACAGTCCTTCTGCACGTATACGACCTCAACGCGGGCCTCACGAGGGCCAACGAGGTACTGAACTTCACCCCGGCTGGGATGGCCGTCGGGGGCGCGTTTCACGCCGGCGTGGAGGTATACATGAGCGAGTGGTCATATGGTAGCTATGGCGTGTGCAGCTCTCTGCCCAGGACCGCCCTCGGCCACGTCTACCAGTGCAGCATCCTCCTGGGGCCGACCAGGCTGGGGCTGCTCGAGTTCGTGGCGGTGCTTCGCCAGCTCTGCGACGAGTGGTGCGCCGCCGACTACCAGGTGCTCGACCGTAACTGCTGCAGCTTCGCCGCGGAGCTGGTCAAGCACCTGGGGGTGGGCCCGATGCCACCCTGGGTGAACCGCTTCGCGCGGCTGGGGCAGGACGCGAGAGACAGCTGGACGAATTTCCGCGGCCTCTTCACGGAGCGAGGGCTCGTCGGCAGGCTGACCTCGCGCGGCGGGCAGGCGAGCCCGTCCGACACCTCGGACTCGGAGTCGGAGCCAGAGCCCGCTGCGGGCGAGGCGGCCCGCCCGCTGCCCCTGCCCCCGCCGAGCCCTGGCCACCAGGTGCTCGACCGCGACCCTGCCCGGCAGCCCGCCTGCCAGACCGCCCCGCCCAACCACTCGCGCCCAGGCGGCGCCGACGGCGCGCCCTGCGGCACCGCCCCCGCCCCGCAGCAGCGCGCCGCAGTCCCAGCAGGGCAGCGCGCGCCGGCCGCGAGGCCCCCGCAGCCCCCGGCGCCGCAGCAGCAGTGGCACCAGCAGCCACCCGCGCCGCCGCCCGCGCGGCAGCCCGTGCCGCCGCCCGCCGTGCTGCAGCCGCACCAGCAGCAGCCGACCGCCGCCGCGGCGGCTGCAGGCCGCCCGGCGCACCCGGCGCCGCCGCGCGGCGCCGCGCCGCCGCCGCAGTCGCCCCAGCCCGGCGCGCGCGGCCCGACCGAGCAGTGGCCGGCCCTCCGCGCGCCGCCAGCAGGGCCGCCGGCCAGCGGGACGCCGGCAGCCCCCGCCCACGCGGCGCGCCCGCCGGGCACAGCGGTCTCGGCCTCGACGGAGCTCCCGGCGGGCCCGCCGGCCCCGCTGCAGCACCAGCGCGGGCCGGTCGGAAGTCCAGGCCAGGGCCCTGCGGGGGCGCGCTCTGGGCGCCCTTTGCTGCGGGCCCTGGGGCAGCTCAGGGCGCGGCCCCGCATCAGTTCAGGGTGAGGTCGAAAGCTCTGGGGGAAGTTTCGCGCGCAGTCAGGCCAGCGATCCTCCACAGCCGCTTCAAGAGATGGCCCATGACTGCCCTGGGACAGCCCCCCCCGGCCATATTGCCCACAGGGCCTTCAAGAGGGCGTTTGAAGGGGCCACAGACGACCCAATGAGGCACCCGAAAACCCGCAGAACAGTTTCGAGATGGTTCAGGACGACCCCACGAGAGCCCGAGACAGCCCACGAGGGCGAAAGTGGCTCCAAGAAGCTTTCGCAGGAACGTCTGGAGCACATCGGCGAGATATACGAGAAAGAGGGAACATTGAAAGGATACTGATGATGATGATGATGATGATGATGATGATGATGATGATGATGATGATGATGATGATGATGATGATGATGATGCTGATGCTGATGCTGATGCTGATGATGATGCTGATGCTGATGATGATGATGATGATGATGATGATGATGATGATGATGATGATGATGATGATGATGGTGGTGGTGGTGGGTGGTGGTGGTGGGGTGGTGGTGATGATGAGGAGGAGGAGGAGGAGGAGGACGAAGAGGAAGAGGAGGAGTCGCAGGAGGGGGAGGTCGAATGAGACTGCGAAAACTTCGACGCGATGAGACGACATAGTTTGCACCGCATGCATACACCACATGGCTGATCCTTTAAAGGGAATAATAAAGAACACCCCTCCCGAGCCCAGACTTTGGTACCCCTCCGCATGTTACGTTTCCATAGCTATCCAGCACGATCGTTAATCCTAAAATGTCGAATCATGTCATCCCAACCAGGCTGGTGTCGGTCACCGCCTTCAGCCTTGTCAAATGACACCATGCACGCGTCTCGAACGATTATTTTGCGCAATAATCCTTAGCAGCTCAAGCCTGCAAGCCTGGCGGAGAACCCAACCCTTCCTCAGAACGAGAGGTGCGCCGAAATGGGGCGGGTCGCCACGCGGACGTAGCCACTGGGGCCTTCGGCGGAGCGCTCCATGGGACCACGGTGGAGCCCCCTGTGGGGCAACGAGACGCGTGAGGCGTGTGCCGACATGGGGCGGGTCACCGTGCGGACGCAGCCACTTGGGCGATGGGTGGAGCTCCCTTCCGGCCACGACGCGCACGAGGGGCCTGCCGACATGTGGCGGGTCACCGTTCGGACGCAGCCACTGTGGCTGCCGGTGGAGCTCCCTGTGGGGCCACGAAGCGCGTGAGGGGTGTTCCGAAATACGGCGGGCCACCATGCTGAGGCAGGCAGCTCCCCTTGGGGGCACGAAGCGCGTGAGGGGTGTGTTGACATGGAAGGTGGAGCCGCATGTGGACTTTGCCACTGAGGCCTCCGGTGGAGCTCCCTGATGGGCCACGAAACGCGTGACGCGTGTGCCGAAATGGGGTGGGTCACCATGCGGGCGCAGCCACGCGGGCTTCGGTGGAGCTCCCTGTGGGGTCAGGAAACGTGTGAGGGGTGTGCCAAAGCGGTGGTGAGGGTGTTGATGGTGGTAACGATGATAGGAATGATGGTGATGGAAAGGATGATGGTGGCGACGACGATGATGATGATTACGACGACAACGATGGTGCTTACGACGAGGCCAAGCAGGAGGAGGGGAAGGGGAGGAGGAAGGAGGAGACGCGCGGCGCTGCAGATTCAAAACGAGAGCCCGACTCACAGGAGGATTGAAAAACAATGCTTCGAAGTTCACACGCGCGCGCACATGCCGAACTCATGCTAAATACACGTGCTGCAAATATTTGAACATCGAAACATTGAAACCACCAAGTGGTTTCCCATCTTACAATATTGCAGATTATGTGTCCGCGTGCACCTGTTGAAATCATCGGAAACCACATGACTTGAGCAGTCTCGTTGAGAACCCGCATTCGCGTCTCACCACGCGGAGCATCCGCGTTGATCTAGCATGCGCCCAATGGACGAATTCAGTTCAGATGTACCATGCGGGCCACATGCGCGCGCCGCCACGTGCGCGTGCCTAAATTCGTCCCAAACCCGTGCCTCTCGAAACACTTCAAGACAAAGCTCCTACGAACCGAGTCAAACACGCTTTTCTACGAACATGGTTGCCAGCTGTATATATATAGTATAATATAATATAATATAATATAATATAATATAATATAATATAATATAATATAATATAATATAATATAATATAATATAATATAATATAATATAATATAATATAATATAATATAATATATACATATAAATATAATATAAGCGCCGTCTGGGGCCCCGCGGCCCGGGGTCGCACACTTTTCCCCGAGCCCCCCCCGTAACCGAATTTGCCCACTGGGCGGCGGGGGCCATTTTTGGCATCCAGGGGTTCGTTTTCGGAGTCCCGGAACTTTTTCCGCTTCCCCGAGGCGTCCACCTAGGCTTCTGGAGACGGCAAGAAGCCGCCAAGACGGCCCAAGAAGGCTCCAAGCCGCCCAAGATGGCCCCATGATCGGCCCAAGAGGCCCCCAAGAGGCCCCAAGGTCGCTCCGCGAGCACCTCCAAGAGAGCCCCAAGACGCCAAAATCATAGATTTTCAGGATGTTTTCCAATATGTTTTGCTTTCTCACGTTTTCGAGCGGCTGGCACTCCAAGACTGCCCAAGAAGCTTCCAAATTCGCCCCAACAGGCCCCCAAGAGGCCCCCAAGACGGCCCAAGAGGGCCGCATGATCGGCCCAAGAGACCCCCAAGACGGCTTGAAGAGGGCTTGAAGAGGGCCTGAGGACGGCTCGAAGATGGGCCAAAGGGCCAAAGAGAGGGAACGCGAACCGACCTTTCGAGCTTCCCGCCCCCAGAGGCCCCCAGGAGGCCCCAAGAGGCCCTAAGTGGCTCCAAGAGGCTCCAAAGAGGCCCCAAAGATGCCTACGAGAGGTTCGACAAGCTCCACAACGCCCCCGTGGAGGCTTCAAACCTGCTTCCAAAAGGCCGCCGAGAGGCATCCCACGATCTCATCCCAGCGAACATCCGAGAAGGCCCAGAACTGAGACCTCTGGTTCGCATGGGGGGCCGGGGGGCCTTGAGGGCTCCAAGAGGGTTCAGAAGGGGCCCCAGACCCCCCCAGAGGCTCCCAAGCTGGCCCAAGATATTCCCAGGAGGCTCCAGAGAGCCCCCCAAATGCCCGAACAGAGGCGCCCTCTGCCCCAAGAGGCACCCAGGAGGCCCCGAGATACTCCCAAGAGGCCTCCACGACGCCCCAAGAAGCCCCCAAAAGGGCTCCAGAAAGACCCGAGAAGCTCCCGAGAAACCCCCCACCGAGCTCGCAGGAGGCCTCCTACACAGACCCTCAGAAGCCCGCCAGAAGCCCTTCGTCCTCCATGCTCCGGAACATCCCTTCGGAACACGTGTCCCTGGCTGCACCCTTCGACCCGCCCACTCAATGTCGAGACCCGAGGACGCCCCTATGACGCCTGCAAGACGCTCCGGAAGCGCCTCTCCTGCACACGTGGACCAGGTAACAGTGATGCTATCGTCGGTGGTCCGTCGTCGTCGACGTCGTCGGTCGTCGCTGGTACGCTACAGGCAAAACCCTTCCTTGAACTTCGCCGTATCCGCCCGAAAATCACGCACGGGTGAAAGGGAGGAACCCGGAAGACCACATGGAAGGAAAAGGTCTCATGGAAATAGACACCGTCTTCGGCATCGACTATAACCTAAGCGCGCGCGAAGCGCGCGTGGTTCTAATGGAAATTCTGCGCGCGCCCAGTTCTTCATCATTTTCATGAGCGCCATTGCATCACCACCGTTCACCAATTGCCGCCATTGTCGTCATCATTACAATGACCTGCATCATCGACACACGGACATCATCATCGTCATCGTCGTCACCAGCATCGGCACCGTCATTGGCTTTGTCGCCTTCATCGTCATGATCGCCCGCAGCATCGCTAGTACCATCAGCGTTTCTGCCGTTGTCGACGTCGTCATGATACTGCGTCCGCCCGAGCCAATCGGCCCGCACGGAAGTGCCCGCGCGCCAGCGCGGCCTGAGAGACCCGCTGGGAAGCTCCCGTCGGTAAGCGCCATCTTGGCCACAGCGGCTATGCCAAACCAGCTGGTCGCTCTGCACGCCAGCGTGTTCGCGCTAGCGCGGCCGCAGAGGCGCGCTAGCAAATGCCAACCAGTGGCCGCAATCGTGGCCGCATGGGTTCTCGCTAGCCAAGTTGCGGGTGGAAGGCTGGAGCGCCTGCGCGAGCACTGGAGTAGACGACTTCAAGTCCTACAAGGTGGGTCCTTTTGGAATGAAACAGACAAGTTCTGACCCCCAGGATTATCGGCGAGAAAGAGCTAACGCACCGGTTGTCGTCTGCTTGGGGGGCGTGCGCGAAGCTCAAGCGCGTTTTATATTCTCTGGCTTGCCTATTGTGGCGACGTCTAAGACTATTCGAGAGCGTTCGTTACGTCATACGGATGTGAGTGTTGGACGCTAGATTCTGCAGCCAGAGGCCCGCTACCCGCGTATTTTTCTGACACGGAGAACAACTGGAGCAAAATAAAGACTCTTGGTGTGGACGCCGCAGTTCCGGACGGATGCCAGACTTAGCGTCGGCAGACCGCGGTTGCGACGGGAAAAGTTGTTGAGGGTGTGATGGT